CAATTTGACTTATTAAATTGTATTGTCTAATGAGTATTCCCTTGGGGGTATAATTACCTAATAATTGTCAGCTCCCTTATAACTGACTTAATTTTAGTGATGTATTATGAAAAAAAATATAGATAAAATTGCATACTCGTCGGGAAATTAAAATTAGATAAATGGTTTAACAAAAATAAAGTTAAAATTTTGTGTTTATAACCGACTTACTTTTAGTTTTGGATAATTGTCATGAAGATTTAATTTTTTTTCAGCTATATTTATTATTAATAAATTTAATAAATTGCTTCAATTCAATCTATTTATTTTATGTTATATCATAAAGGCCATCTACATAATAAATCAGAGTTACGGTCTACGTTATAACATAATATTATACTACTGTAGCTACGACTTACGTCAATACTACAAAAAGTTGCAACTTTACTACAATGTGTCGTAACTAATTACCTCAATTCACTCATACCACTAGTCATAGAATATTGTTCAGGAGGGTTTTGCTTCGATGAGTAAGTGAATAATGGTTGATTTTTTTTAGATATTTACTATTTTTATGTTTCTTGTTATTTTGTTACATTAAAGATGAAATCTGGTGCCTTTAAAGAAGAGCACATAGCAATTATATTATAGGAGCTATTAAAGGATTGGAGTATCTGTATGCTGAATACAAGCTTTACAGAGGTTAGTATTGAGAATGATTTATTGATACATACATTACTTTAAAATTTATTTATTCGGTTATTACTATATTTTTTTATTTTATTTTTATTTTTATTTTATTTTTATTTTTTTTTTATAGATATAAAAGGTGGGAATAGTTATAAAGACTACAATATTTGAAATTTTGTTTAATGAATATTTTAGCTAACATGTTGATGTGATTATTTATAGCGGCAAATATTCTCTTAAGCTCCACCGTCGATGGTACATATTGATTTTATTGCTTATATATACTTTTAATTAACATGTTCGTTATATGTTTAACTTTATCCTGTAGTGAAATTAGCAGATTTTGGTGTTTCTGAACAGGTCGATATAATATGATCTTTATGACAATAAGTTATAGTTATTGTATGGGTTGTAGAAAATAACTAAATTTGCACGGGTTAACCAGTTCCACATGGCCGAAGGCCATGTGAAACGGGTTGACCCTTGCAAATTTAGTTATTTTATGCAATCCCATATAATAACTATATTATTGCACGGGTCTGACGTAACAACCCGTGCGACACCTTTCACATTAATAAAAGGACAATTTTAATGTTGATGTTATGAAGGCTCTGTCCAATAGGGATTTTTTTAAAAAGCGAAGAGCTAAATCTAATCAAGCAAAATTCCAATTATATATATAACCTTATCTAAAAAATTTAAAAAAAAATGAAACTTTAATCATGTAAAGACTCCTGTTCAATGAAAAATGAAAATAAAATAACATGATTCCATTTAGTGGAATATAGAAAACGAAGACTTAATAATAAATAACCTGCCTAATGATAATTTTAATAATGAGTAATTCTGCATACTAAGAATTATAAAAGAAAAACATTTAATAATATACGACTAATCTAACAAGAATTTAAAGAAAGTAAAATTAATAACATGCAACTTCGTCCAACAAGAATTTTAAAGTAAACGTTAAAAACGTGATTCTGTCTAGTAAGAATTTCAAAAAAAAGCGATAAGAATTTTAAAAAAATGCAAAATCTAAAAATGAGCGATACTATTTAATATGAATTTAAAGAAACGAAGATAGAAACGAAGATATAATAACGCCTGACTTCAATAAGGCTTTAAAGAAAGACTAATTATATAATGATTATTCCAAAGAAATTTAAAGAAAATGAAAACAAACTAATGTTAACACCGTCCAATGACAATTTAAAAAAGTAAAGAAAGTAAAAGTAAAGACCTAATGTTCTAACGACAATTTTAAAAATATGAAGACAAATCAATTTAATAAAACTAAATTGGAACACTTTCATATTTAATCAAATATAAAAGTGTTCCGATTTAGTTATTTTTTAAACACGTGCTGTAAATGAGTGAAAAAAGCACGGGTTGTTACATAAGACCCGTGCAATAAGATTTGTTTATTTAAATGTATAGTTTAACATATTCATGATATTAATTTAGATTACAGCAACTATAACGAAGAATAATGCTTTTGTCAAAACACCAATAAGATATTGGTTTCAATGACTTTGTTTTAATAATATTAATGACAATTTACTTAATCATTGATTATGACAGTTTTGGATAGTGCCAGAAGTAATTAAACAATCTGGATATGACTTTAAAGTAAGAATTGTTACATTTTGGATGATATATATATATTTATGCAGATATAAATACCTTTTGTTTTTAGGCAGATATCTTGTTCTTGGAAATAACCGCAATCAAGGTAAACCTCCTTACTCGGATCTTCATCTGATGAAAGTTTTTTCTTATCTTTAAAAACCCACCACCATCTTTGGATAGAAGGCATTTTAGATTATTCAAGGAGTTTATTTCACAATGTTTGGATAAAGATCCGGTGAAAGTATGTTGCGATGCATTAATGTTTTTATGAATTCATTATTATGTTTAATTTTATGAAGCTTGATGCATCCTGTAAAAAATTAGTGACCATCGGCCAAAGAATCACTCAAGAACAAATTTATCAGAATGCAAAAAAAAAAACATCATATTTAACAGAATTAATTGAACGACATTAAATATGGCTAGCATAAGGGGTGGTCAGCAAGAGTCTGGTAAATTAGATCACTCTGAAAATGGTAAATGGCATTTTCGTTTTTTCTTTTTCTTTTTATAAACCTTTTTGATAATTATTTTAAATTACTTATTGGTGATGATAGAGAGAATACAGCGTGGGAACTTTTAAAGCCAATTCTCCTTTATTAGTTATAATTCACTGCTATATTGATAAAACAAATGATATTATGTTAATCCGAAATCAAACTTTCGTAATCCTTGTTCCATGCACCTTCCTCTGTTCTATGCAATAAATGTCCTAATACACAAGCTTTTTTCCCTTCAAATGCAATTCCTATTTCCAAAAGTTTTTTGACATGTTTTTCTAGGCCTACTCGATACTGCTTCTCTTCGATTTGAGTTAATCCTTCTTGAGCCATATCATGTAAAGTTTTTTTATCACGAACAACTTTAAATCTTTCAAAACCATCCTCACGATTAGAATGAACAATAAACCCTCGATCACGAGCATTAGCGAACACTCCTAAACAAAAGGCATGATAAATATTTTCTGCATTTTTTCCAGAATTAGACCCACTGACATCATAAAACGAAAGTGTATCTACAATCATATTTTTAAATTCTTTACTAAATAAATCAAGATTTCCAAGTAAAAGATTATTTAACATTGATGTAATAGTTTGCCCGTGAGTAAAAAATGGTACATTGGTTACCCAATTATGCCATTCTGAACGAATCTCTTTATTTGGAATAACAAGATACTTCTCGGAATTCATAGTAAGGTATCCTGCATAGTAAAGAAGTGTCCAAATAGCCAAATCTTGACATTGATCCAAATGTAAATATCGAAGGTCATCCTGAACCTTAGTATTAGTTATACTTTCCCCTTTTAATAACTTTTCAACGGATTCCTTGAATGAACAACTTGCTCTCCATAAACATTTTTCTAATGTTTGAGTACTTCCCGTATCTGTCCAATATGCGCATAAGATACCACGTGAAAGCAGACGAATAATAGACCACGGATTATATAAATGGGTACTCCCTCCTGAGATGTAGCCATCATACCACTTTTGGACGTCATTAATTTGCAAATTTTTACGCAGTGACAATAATAATTCTACCTCATCGGACGTGAATCCAAACTTATCTACATAAAGAGGAGATGAATCTTCGTAATTTTCTTGATGGAAAGGATATATCGTAATATTATTTAACCCAGACAAAAACCCTGATTTTGCAATTCGTAATACACCAACTAACATAGCTTTTGCTACATTTTCATCATTGCTCTAATATTTAATTAGAAATAGATATGAATTTTTTGATTAGACTATAATAAAAATTACGAATATGTCTTACCTTCAATAATGATGAGAACATGCCTTTAAAAAATTCATTTGCAACTTCGTAATATCCTTTATTATAGGCACATTCCATTGGAGAATCGTATTCATCAATCAATACAATACATTGTTTTTTATAGTATTGTCGCAAATACATAGAAAATTCCTGCAAGGCAAATGACAATTGTGATTCAGTTGATTCTTCGTTGAGAAATTCAGTCAGGCATATTACCAAAAATGGAAATCGATTCTAGATCGTTCCATTGAAATTTGATTGGCTGCTTTTTGCTA